CAGGAGAACCCCACAGGCAGGAGAACCCCACAGGCAGGAGAACCCCACAGGCAGGAGAACCTTGCACCTGGCTCCTGCTTCACTTCTGCAGAGGGTTCGTGGGAGGCCCAGGCCACACCCTGGGGGACGCAGAGGTGCCCAGGGAGGCAGAGGGGACACGCCAGGTGCCAGGGGGGCAGGCTGGCACAGAGGCATCTCCATAGATACAGGACCTTCTTCCTCTGGGACGTGAGGGGAGGAGCCGCTGACTGAGGAGGCCACGGCGTGACCAGGAGAGAGAACAGGGCATCACTCACGGAAGCCAACTTACAGGTGCCATCTCATGCCCGTCCGTGCGGGTCAGTCCTGACATACGATCAGGCACAGTGACCCCCAACCACCACCGATGTGGACAGAGCGTCCCAGGCCATTTCCCTCCCACTCGTGACCCTAAGCTCTGATGTCTTCTGCTTCCCGGGCCCGAGAGCTGGTCCAGAGCTCCCGCAGGGCAGAGCACCGACAGCCCTGGAGTGAGCGAGCACAGTGTTACTAGGAGTCGTCTCAGGGGAGGAGCCGGGGTGGACAGTTAGCAGATGCAAGAGCCACGCAAGGAACGGTCGACACCACTCGCTCGACCGCGAGGCTTCAGAGTGACTGGGGTGAGGAGCAAGTAAAAGCAGAAACGGCAACAATTTCAACTTTTATGAATAATGAAAACAATGATTAAAAAAATAAATGGCCTTTAATTCATAGAAATGAGGGCAAGTAATGCTACAGATAGACGTGTAAGACAGAACGTGTCCAAGTGGCCACATGGACATGGCTCACCTCAGGGAAGCCATCTGCAAAAACCATCAGCCAATTCTTGGGGCTTTTGAAACCACCCCAACGTAGGTCACATTACCTCTCGCTCAGACGCGGGAAAGTACGTGTGACTGTGAGAACATGCACAGGGCGTCTCCCTTCCCTTCGGCTCTAATCGGGCTTCTTCCGGCGGCCGAGGGTCCTCCCCCCGCCCCCGCCCCCGAGAATGCAGCCAGGGCCGCAGGAAGGTGTGCAACCAACACGGTGCGCAGGGCACGACTCTCCTGTCCACATTTCCAGGCAACCCAGCCCACCACAGCACCGTCAGGGTCAGAACCTGAGGCCCAGCACAGACCCCCTCTCCTAGGAGGGCCTCAGTGGGAACTCGGGGCCCAGCACAGACCCCCCAGTCCCAGGAGGGCCTCAGTGGGAACTCAGGGCCCAGCACAGACCCCCACTCCCAGGAGGGCCTCAGTGGGAACTCGGGGCCCAGCACAGACCCCCACTCCCAGGACGGTCTCAGTGGGAACTCGGGGCCCAGCACGACCCCCACTTCCCAGGAGGGCCTCAGTGGGAACTCGGGGCCCAGCACAGACCCCCACTCCCAGGAGGGCCTCAGTGGGAACTCGGGGCCCAGCACAGACCCCCACTCCCAGGAGGGCCTCAGTGGGAACTCGGGGCCCAGCACAGACCCCCACTCCCAGGAGGGCCTCAGTGGGAACTCGGGGCCCAGCACAGACCCCCCAGTCCCAGGAGGGCCTCAGTGGGAACTC